ATGATAGAATAGCCAGCCAAATCAATCATCCTCCTCTTCATCTTCATCTCATCAAATTCAAATACGTAATCCCAACAATCAACAAATTTATGTTCATCAACTTACTGATAACAATAGAAATTTAAATTTATTTGATAATAATTATTTCAACATGAGGAATTCATCATCGTCATCGTCATCATCATCGTCATCATCGTCATCGTCATCGTCATCTACATCATCTTCATTGTCATCTTCATCATCTATATCGTCATCTACATCATCTTCATCGTCATCAACGTCGTCTATATCATCTTCAACATCTACATCAACATCTATATCATCATCTTCATCATCTACATCATCATCCACATCCAAATCATCATCCACATCATCATCCACATCATCTTCATCTTCATCTTCATCTTCACCTTCATCTTCATCTTCCTCCTCCTCCTCCTCACCATCATTATCCTCCTCTTCCGCCTCGTCCTCTTCCTCTTCTATATATTCGCTGTTTTTCTCCAAATTATTCTATTTTTTTAAAAAAAAAAAATCAATTCTAATATTCTAATATCTTAAAAATTAAAGAAATATCCAACCTCTTCTCCAGCTTGTTCCATCTCAATAAAATTTTCAAAATCTTTGACTTTTATTTGGTACCTTCAAAAGTATACACTCTTCAGTTTGTAACATGTTGATCATCAAATTCTCGAAATTTGCCGAGTTTTTCTGAAGTTTTACCGATTATTTTTACGAATAAAATGATGATAAAATAAAATATTTTAATTTTTATTTAATAACTTGATTTTAAAAAAATGAAACTAATAGGAAAACATATTGAAAAAGATCGTTCGGTATATATATATATGTTTGAATTTATCTGTTTATTATTTAGTTAAATCCCATTTGAATTTTAAAATTCTATTTTTTCCTAGGGTTGTGTTACACTTTGTCCTGAGGAAATGGAAGATATGTGGCATGTTTATAATTTAATTACAGTTGGTGATAAACTTAAAGCAACAACATTACGGTAATAGAGTTGACATTATGTGTGTGTGTGTGTGTGTATTTATGGAATATTTCTATTTATGTCTAATTTATTTGATTAAAATTGTTTAGCCGAGTTCAAAGAGAAAATTCAA